ACCGTAAGGAGGAGATAAACACCCGCCTTGTACACAGCCATTTCTCACCGGCGACCGCTCTCCCTGCCTAAGCCACTAGCGTTCCCTGCCCGGAGCTCCCCGCGGGCTCCTGCTCTCCCGGTGCTGCCGTTTTTATGCGAAAGTGCGATGCGGTGCCCGCGGGTCCGGCCGGAGGGGCGGCCGGGGGTCCGGCCGGAGGGACGGCCGGCCGTTCTTCCCGCTGCTCCCCGGGTCCTCTGCGCGCCTGTGGAGCCGCGAGTCGGTAGGCTCAGGCACAGCGCGACTTGCGGGTAAAGGTCAGTCTTTCCCAACCGGCTCCTTGCAGACGCCCTTCGGCCTCCTCAGAGTATTCAGCATTGTGATCCCTTTCCTGTATGTCGGGACTCAGATCAGTAAGAACTTCGCAGCCCTACTTGAAGAACATGATATCTTTGTCCCGGAGGATGATGACGATGATGATTAAAGGGTACGTCATTAACACAACCAGCAATCTAATTATTTGCGCTTCCTGTTTGGCTTGGGGCAGGGAGGAGAATCTCAGAAATAAAATAAAGACAGCCATGGCTTTGAGATGCATTTGCAGTAAAACACACGGACACCTGCAGCTGTATTGCCTCTGGCGATGAACTTTTCAGTTCCTTTATACTGGAGCAGGCCAGCCTGGCATCTGAATGTGAAATCTCCAAAATATACATTTGTTAGAGATTGTAATAAACTGATGGTGGTTTAGATCTTGTAATTTGAATCAGAAATAAAAATAAACTGTAGTCAGTGAGGGTCTGTACTGCAGACAGAAAAGACGGACTTCAGCATTATTACACATTTACCTGTTTAAAAGTCTTCTGCTAACTTACAGAATGAGTCTGCTCTTCCTTTATCTACAGTACACTATGCTGCCCTCCATTTTATGTTATGGGTGTATTTCTTTATAGAACAAGGAAGTTGTCGTAAGTAGCCTTGTTTTATAATGAGTTTGGTGGATGTATTCCATTTGATAAAGGGATTTTCCAGTCTGTGCTGTGCAGCTAAACCCAGAGAATTAAAAGGTTGTAAATACTGCAGTGGCCTGTTAGAAACTCCTTTATGTTAACTCCCACCTTGTGTATTTGGGGGGTGGGGGGAGGATACAGACTGGAGCTTAGTACAGTATATCTATCTGAAGAGTAATGGCTTTTTTTCTATTTATTTGCAGATCTGTAATGGAAGAACAGAAGGGAGAAAACCATTGACAAAGCAATGGTTGCAACATGTGTCACCTGTGTTTTGTCCTTTCTGAATGGGACAGGGGGCCGTGTGTCCCCTTTGCCAGTGAGTGTCCTGCGTGTGTGCCAGAAATCCATAGGTTGTGGTTGAAGGAGGTGCTTGATAGGCTCTGCATCCTTGCACACACATGCTCACCTCATCAAAGACTGCTTGGGATTCCTTTTATTAGCAATATGGGAAACACTTAATTAAAGATCAAGAGATTGAGATGTGTAACTCTGGTTTTGTGTTTTTATAGGTTATGTGCCTATCACCTAGCATTTCTGTATTAACTTTTCTACCTCTGTATGTCTGTGCCAGTAAGGAGGCTCCCTTCATGTTTCCTCTTATGACTCCTTTCTGTAATTCAGTACTAATCTGCAGTACATGACAGGAATCCTAGAGGAAGCAGCAGCCTCATGACATAGGACTTGGGGGTATTGATTGATGAGAAGCTCAACATGAGCCAGCAGTGTGCGCTTGCAGCCCAGAAAGCCAACTGTGTCCTGGGCTGCATCAAAAGAGGTGTGACCAGCAGGTTGAGGGAGGTGATCTTGCCCCTCTACTCTGCTCTTGTGAGACCCCACCTGGAGTACTGAGTCCAGCTCTGGGGGCCCCAGTACAGGAGAGACAGGGAGGTGTTGGAGAGGGTCCAGAGGAGGGCCACGAAGCTGATCAGAGGGCTGGAGCACCTCTCCTAGGAGGACAGGCTGAGAGAGTTAGGGTTGTTCAGCCTGGAGAAAAGAAGGCTCTGGGGAGATCTAACTGTGGCTTACCAGTACCTGAAGGGGCCTACAGGAAAGATGGTGAGGGACTGTTTATTGGGGAGTGTAGTGACAGGACAAGGGGAAATGGGTTTAAGCTGAAGGAGGGTCGATTTAGATTAGATGTTAGAAATTCTTTAGAGTGGTGAGGCACTGGAACAGGTTGCCCAGAGAGGCTGTGGATGCCCCATCCCTGGAAGTGTTCAAGGCCAGGTTGGATGGGGCTTTGGGCAACGTGGTCTAGTGGAGGGTGTCCCTGCATATGGCAGGGGGGTTGGAACTAGATGATCTTTAAGGTCCCTTCCAACCCAAACCATTCCATGATTCTGTGATTCTATATTGACACTGGCACTGCACTTCAAATAAGTTTGATTTACAACCCAGCACTATGCATGTGTGTCTGATGGAGACTGTATCATTGATTTCACCTCACTGAGGATTAAATACAGTATTTTCATTGCAGAGTTAAAGTTTTGAGTAGGTTAAGATCACAAGTGGCAAACTAACTCAGCTGATGTATTTACAGCATTTAACCTATGAACAGTGAAGATGCTGGCTCCAAGTACCTAGTAATTCCTAGATAGTTCAGTACTTCCTTCTGTATGAGCCCTAATATATTTATTTTCTTAACTGTGTATAAACTTCAACTCTTCTTTTCATAGAAGTGTTTGCTATTGCAATTAAATCCTTGCATAATAGACTTAAAAGGTCTTATGTACTGCTAGGGCATGCATAGAGTATCTTCAGTCACATCAGATGAGCTGTTTTCTCAAATACCTTGAAGGATTAAAGTAGAATGATTTTTTTTTTTTTTTTAAGCCAGCATTGTCTCTTCTCGTGGTTTCTGGTCGCTAGAGCTGGCCTGTTCTCTTGACTGCCCACTTTTCCTTTCAGTATTTACATAGCTGTTAAAATGTTTCTTTTAATGTTACACACATTATTATGCTGCATAGTTCAGACAGCCACGTTTGCTCCCTTACTATTTGTCACTGCTTTTAGTGTTTGCTCTGTAACTCTCCAGCGTGGCTACTGTGAGAAAAGGGAACCTGCAATCCAAGTAACCTCAACAGCTGTAGCTGAAGGCAGCTGGTAGGTTCCTGAGTCACTCTGTATCCAAATTGGCCCCTCCTTCCCCAAGGCCACCTGAGCAGCAGTTGTTGCAGTTCATGTGCTCTTGGGAGCCAAACACGACACACGCACAGACACCCCATCTGTCCCTGAGGAGTGCTGCTTTACAGTCCTCACACAGGAGAGAAAGCCCCAGTATTTAGGCAAGGATAAAAAGAAGTTTTGGCATACTACAAAGATTCAATGCTGATCACACATGGGGGAGCTCCAGCACCAAGTTACCCGCTGAAAACCCGTTCTGACTGGTGAAAGAACAAATTCTCCTAATCCTTCTTGAAATGGAGCTAGTAATTGAATTCAGTTAAAGAGGTGATGGTAGGACACCATCTTCTAGGCTAGGCATCAGCAGCTCTTACAAAGCCTCCCTCTTCTAGACCGAAATACAAACCCCCGTTTTTCCAGGTAATTTCATTTTGCAGCAGGGAGATGGACTCTGCTGATCTTTTTATTGCACAAAGGGCTTTATCAGCCTATTGGCTTTTACGTCATTCTCTGCAAGGAAGTAAACAGAGACTAGTCCAAATAAAAAAAAAAATCAACAAAATCACAGCATGAAGTTGAAAAACACTGCAGGCCTCAAGCACAAGAATATTTCTGCAACTGCACTGGTTTCTCTGAAAGCCTACTCTTCTACTCTTTCTTCCACAGAGCAGACACCTACACACAGGGCTGCAGGCTAAGCAGAAAGCTGCACAGCCAGGTTGTGTTGTGGTTTTTCAGCAGACACTCCAGGGCAAGTGATGGGACAAACTCCATCCACTGAAAATACGCATTGGCAAAAGGCAGGAAACACAGGTCTTCATACAGATCATAATGATTTGCACACATACTCTGGGTTCAGATTTAGTCATTAGGCTCCTAATACGCTATACAATCTCTCTGTATGGATTTTTTTTTTTTCTATTATATAGGACTTTATTTGTAATACAAGGCAGGAAGACACAGAGTCAATCTCTCAGGGATCGTGGCCCGCATAGAATTTGGACAGAAAGTCTTTAGGTCGTGGGGTTTCCGTCTCATGGAAATACCTCATGATGTGAGTCCTCTGCTTCCATACCTGAATGGTTTCTTGAAGATCCATTTTTCCCTGCGCACAGACAAAAGAATTTTAGACAAGTTCTCAGAGCCCAATTCTAACTATACAGCACGATGAAAGTTATTTGAATGCGCTTAGAAACACCCTTAAGACAGCTGCGTCAACAATTCTGTACTCCTAAAGACTGCTTGCATCACCAATACTGTGACACAAATATATAAACTGTTCCTGCCTTATGACTTTAATGCTTCATGTCCTACGTTAACAAGTCACTTGTCTCTACAGCACAGCTTTCCAGCCCAGTGGAATAGGCAAGGGACCCCGCCCTCTTCTTAGAACTGGCTTGTTTCTCTCATGACCAGCACCCCCATAAAAGTCTACGTAACATTCCTAGCTTTCATGCACCTCTATTTTTGAATAGTGGCAAGTTAGCTGTAAAAGTAAGTAAAATTGCTGCTAAGTGCTTTGCACCAGAATCACTACCACAGAGATATTAAACATAACTTCTTCATGACTCCAGTCTATGAATTATTGTACTGGTTTCAGAGGATGGCAGCACGGGGCAGAACAAGACTGCCTGGAACTGTCACCTACCATATTATCTAGAATTCTGTTCCCAGATTTTCTTCATCACGTAAAGACAGACTAACTGTCTTCAAATGCAAGAAATACAACAGGCAAACATGGCACTCCTTGGTCGGAAGCTTTCTAATGCATTAGAACTGCAGAGGTCAGTTACTGTTGCTCTGACCCATTCTGAAGCCTTGCCCTACTCTTGGTATGTTGGTTATTGCTTTGAACCAGGCATAACCAAATGTGTTACAGACTCAAGGTGTTTTGTCACCTAGAGCCAGCCTCCCACCAAGTACTGCCACTCTAATCTATGTTTCAGAATCCATGAAGAAAACCACATCCCAATCTAAGGAAGTACCGTAGGGTGTAGAAAGGTCATTTTTAATGGTAAACTAGCTAGCAGCATCTTTTTCCCCCTTTCTTTGATTACCATGGTTTTCTTTAAAAAAACCACCACAAAACCAAAACAAACCACAAACCAACAAACATAGTATTTAAACTACCATTTTGCTTATCGTACATTTCCTCTTTTAAACACCTGCAAACTGGAAAAGCCAGTACACTGAGTGACAGAAATCCATAGTGTAGTAATTCTTGATTTAGGTGAATTAAGACCCTATTTCTCTGCACGCTAAAGCAGCTTGATCCCTTATCAACAGGTTTATTGACAGAGATAAACCAATCTGGACTGCAAGAGACAACTCCTGCATAGCGCAAGCCAAAATAAAACTGTCCCTCTCCTCCATCACACTCACCACCAATTATCCACTCCCACATTCTCTGCAGCTTCAACAAAACGGGAATAATTTGTTTGTACCTTAATAACCAGCATGTCTATCACCCGTGGGTCTGTAACGTGGGCATTCTTCAGGAACATCTCCCGTACCTTGTTACGTCCCTGTTTCACTGTGATGTCCAGCTGGTACAGGTGTACTAGGAAAAACACAATACCCAGAGAGGTCATCTATATTGCTTTTTGTTTTTTCCACTGACAACGTGCAACTCAACCCTACAAAACACTACACAGTCATTTGTTCTTGTAATCTCTGCCAGCTTCACCAATAATTTAATTAATTTAAAGCAAATAAAGGGTGACAAAGATGATTAGGGGACTGGAGCATCTCTCATATGATGAAAGGCTGAGAAGGCTGGGTCTGTTTAGTCTGGAGAAGAGAAGACTGACAGGGGATCTTATAAATATCTAAAGGGTGGATGTTTAGAGGAAGGGGCTATGCTCTTCTCAATGGTGCCCACTGACAGGACAAGGGGCACAAACTGGAAAACAGGAAGCTCCATCTCACACGAGAAAAAACTTCTTTACTCTGAGGGTGACTGAGCACTGGCACAGGCTGCCCAGAGAGGTTGTGGAGTCTCCTTCTCTGGAAATATTCAAACCCCACCAGGACACAATACTGTACAACCTTCTTTGGGAGATACTGCTGTAGCAGGGGGGCTGGACTAGATGATCTCCAGAGGTCCCTTCCAACCCCTGCCAGTCTGTGAATCTGTGCAAACAACGCAGCCGTGGTACAGGTCCCAGTGCAATTTTAAGGAAGCAGGTAATCACGCCACGGATCCCTATTCTGGAAAGTTAAAGCTAGATTTCTCTTCTGCTTAGTCAGGAACACCAAGTGGCAAGTAAGGAGGAGACCGGGGTTCCCCCTCTCGGGGAGGCAGCCGGGGCAGGGAGGACAAGGCAAACCCGGCGGCCTGTGCTGCACGCCGAGAGCCCACACCCCCACAGCCGCTGTAAGGCCCCGAAGGACCGCGTTCACCTGCCCGACACGCAGCGGGCCAGGGTGGGGAAAGGGCAGCGAGGGGCTGAGGCAGCACCCCTCACACCCGGGGCTCACCGGGAACCCCCGACGGGCTCTTTAAGAACCCAACGGCTGCGGGG